GGGAGGAACCGAGGTCCCTTATGGTGCCTGTGCCCGCAGCTGGTGGCGGAGGAGAACGTGCGCGGCGTGGTCACCCTCACCGAGGACTACGAGACCCGGTTCCTCTGTTTTTCTCCCCAGGTGAGCCCCGGGATTTCTGGTGTATCCCCCCGCCCAGGTCTCTCGTCACTGTCTGTCCCGGCACAGGTGAGGCTTTAGTCGCCTCCTGTCATCCCGGCAGCCACCGCCAAGTCTTGTGGCAGCAAAGCCGGGACTACTCGTACCTAAGCCGAACCGATGCGACACACCAGTAAAACGTGAGCATGCCAGTGAACTGTAGCTGCAGTGGCAGGGAAAGACAGGGAGCATGGAAGCCACGTACATCACTATACAGGAATGCCTTTGGGTTGGGAAGAGATCCCAACCTCCCTCTTTTCCTTTAGCTGAAACAGATTTCAGTCCCTTTTAACTACTACCTTTGATGACCAGGACTGAAGTTTTCATACATCTGATTTGATGGATTGATGTTCAAAGTCTCTTTACAGCTTCTCTGAATTTCCCAACTGTCTCAACAGGTTCTTAATTTCTTTCAGTAAAAAAAACCACCCAAAAGTTCACTGACCGAATCTGCTCTGTCTGTTACAGGAATGGGAGGCAATGGGAGTGGAGCAACTGCGTCTTAGCACTGTGGATCTAACTGGAGTCCCCACCTTGGAAAACCTGCACGAGGGCGTGGAGTTCATCCTGAGACACCGGGCCTGTGGTAACAGTGTCTATGTGCACTGCAAGGCAGGACGCTCCCGCAGTGCCACCATGGTGGCAGCATACTTAATTCAGGTCAGGAGTCTCTGCTAAGTGGGGTGAATTTTCATTAAAAAATAGAAATAAAATGCAGACAACCTTTATAGTTTACTCTTGCTCAGGATACCTGAGCATGTACAGGTTAATATTCCATGATTTTACAGAGCTTGGTCACCCATTTTAAGAGAGGCCTCAAACTTACCTTGTTTCGAATACAAATGCAAATAATGAATTATTCTGCTTTTCTTAATTCTTTCTGTGGAGGAACAGATTGAGGTGGGAATAACAAGTCACTCATGAGCACAGGTTCACTTAGCAGATAAACGTACATTTTGTTGTTTGTATTTTCTTCTTGGTTCACTGGAGTAGTGGTGAGCCTTCCTACGCTTTTCCATAAATACAATTCAGGATCAAGAGAACTGACTTGTTTTCTGAATTCTTCTACCAACCCAACGGGGGAAGCCAGCACTAAGAACAAAATCCCACCTGTGGATTCTTCCCTTGCCGTTACTAAGCGCTCCCTGGAAAATTTGCCCTTACTGTTGAAAAGAAAACTTTCTCACTAAGTGCTGAAATGCGATGGGAGTACTGGTAGAATTAAAAAAAAAAAAAATTAGAAAGCAAGCTGCCTTTTTGCTCTGGTCTGGTGGGGCTAGGACAGGAAACTGTTCACAACATGAAGGAAGAGCGAGCAAGATGAGCAAGATGGAACATGGAGGGCCCAGGCAACAATGATTCCTCTATAACTGAGGGACACATTTCATGAATGTGTGACTTGCAGGTCTCTCTGAGAAGAACATCAAGTAAACCGAAGGGGCAAAGCAGCAGCAAGCTTTCTAACACCTCTAATATTGCCTGTGGCCTCCAGGAGGGTTCCGTTAACTGGTGCAAGGATGGAATGGATTTTCACTTGCTGGGTTTCTGCCTTTTCAGCTGCATCACTGGAGCCCTCAGGAAGCAATAGAGGCCATTACCAAGATTCGTCCCCACATCCTCATTCGACACAAGCAAGTCCAGGTCCTGGAGAAATTTCACAGGAATATGATCAGTGGGACAACTGCATAGCTTAGTAAAAACTAATCAAAATCAGAATCAAAATCCTCATTTCAGCTGCTATAAAAAAAGTTTTTATGATCTAACAAAAGCTTAAGGGTTTTCATTCTTGACAATCAATAAAGAACGTTTTACAGTAAAGGTGAAATAGGGCTATTTCTTTCCTTATGGCTAATATCCTAGATCTCCTGGAGTCCCATAGTTCTTTTCCACACATCAGTGCTGAGCAGAACTGCAATTCACAAGAAGTTCAAAATATTTGTATTTGAAGCAAAGAGAAAAAACCAAAATACTTTGTCTCAGTAGAGACTTTATTCAGATTCTTACCCAAAGGGTTACAGTGCCAACAGAGAGGGGTAGGAGGAAGTGGTCTTATTTCTGTCTTCTCACCATGTTATAATTACAGGTGGGGATTTCCTGTACAGTAAAGGAAGCCAGTGCTCTAAAAATTATCTCCCTCTTCTCTTTATACTAGGTGATGACAGAGCAGTAAGCAAGTACTCAGTTGGTTACCACTCCTCTAGAAGTGCTGAATGTAACCTAAGGGTCCTGGGGTCAGTTCTGGAATCTGTCTGCCAGGCCCTCCTTCTGCAATAGGACACAGGAATGTTTAAATGGGAGCATCCCTGGGGGACAGAGTGCACATCTAACTCTGTGACTGACACAGCAGCAACACACAGTCTCCTAGGCAGTTAAAACTAGCAGTCTGGGCCAAGGAAAATGTTCTCCATATGCCACAGGATTTTTTAGTGATGGCTAAAATAGCCATTTGCTGTTGTTTGGGCCTCAAATGCAAGTAGCTTATCATCAAGGAATCAAAGTAATAATATTTAGTCCATCTGAAATCTAGGATACAACAGTTCAATACGGTTTCAATAGTGCTATGTAAAAGAATAGGCCCACAGTCAGAAAGCCTGTACTTCCTCTGCACAGGTACAGAGGATGGGGTCTTTACTGGATGTTGTGAGCTTGTAGTAATTTGGACTGGTGCTGAGGGTCGTAGGTGTAGCACAGCAAGACATTGTTGCTGTCTTTCTATCACTGGGCCTGTTTAGGCCAGGACAAACTGCAGGTTAGTGAGCAGCACTTTGATGCCACTTGTGACTGTTACAACAGAGGTGGCAGGGTTAAGTTTAAAAGTATTTGCATCACCCTTTTTATAGCGGTCGCGAAAGACATAGATGCTGCCGTTGCAGCTGGCGATTTTCCAGAGGGATGGTACTGAGCTCCAGGCATCTGGGAGGCACAGCCGGGTGAAGCTATCCAACAGGGGATTGTAGCAGAGCAGCGAATCCCCTTCGGCCACAATGAACACCACATCCTTGTGCACAGCAGCGTGCATGCACCCTGCGAAAGGCAGTACATATGGCTTCACGTGGCATTTCTCTGTGTTGGTATCATAGCACTGAATGAGCCGAGAGGGCTTGGTGAAGAAGTCTAAGTCATTTTCCTCCCCACCCAGCAGGTAAATGACACCATTTAGGTTCACCCCTGCAGCTCCAGAGACTGCCACTTCCAGCTGGCTGGTCTCTGTCCAGACGTTGTCTCGTACTCTGTAATATATGACAGCATTAGAGAGAGTGTCCTGTAGAGTTTTCCCCCCCAGTGAATATATTGCATCCTTGCTTGGCACAGAGACGAGGGTGTGCTGGAGCCGGTCACGGGGCAGAGGAGCACACCATTCCCAATCTATAGTCGCATTGTTGCATTTCCACATGCGCCGTGGAATGGAGCCACCGACGACGTACAGGTCGCTGCCGTGCTTGCAGGCCGCGGTGATCTGGTGACACAGGCTGTTCTGGCCACTCACACTGATGGAGTCATCGTCAGCACAGTGCAGAGACACAGCGAGGGAATGGGTACGTGATGACTCCTTTCCAATCAGGTAGATGTGAACATTTTCTCCAATCACCTGAGCGAAAGTAGAAGTGTGCCAGCAGAATTAGATCTGTTCACACAAACATCAGTGATGCTCAAGACTGAATTTTTCAGTTTAGGACCCACCTGTGGGCCTGAGGTGTGTACCCTCCTTCCCAAGTCCTGCCACCCTAGAACATTCAGGATTCAGAGCCTCAAGGCCTTTTCAAGATACCATTCATATCTGACACAGTGAAATAGCCACAGATGTCACTGGAACTCAAGTGTTCATGGCGTAGGTAAGGGCCAGTTACATCACTGATGGAGTACAGTTGTTACAAGGGGAATGCCAAATACAGATTTCTGAACAGTTTATTTGGTAAATGAGGTGAAATAAGTTATTTGTAGCACTGCTCCAATCACCAGAGAAAGCAGCCTCAGGTTAAATGAAAAAAAAGCTGTCCGTGGGGTTGCTATTTGTGACACTGAAAGTATCCTCTCACAAGCACCATGAATTTCAATGACATTGTGTTTTGTGACTTTCAAGTCAGACTGGTGAGCAGAATACCCTGCTCTGAGAAGTGTGAAACCAAGCAAGCGCCACATCAGCCCCAGAACATAAGGTCTTTTTATACCTTCAGACTCGATCGCAGAGTCTCCGAAAAGCCTGCTCGCTCCTCCTTGTTGAAGTTTATCCAGGTTTCTATAGCAACTGTTGGATTCTGAGAACACGGAACGCCATCTGCAGTTCGGGAACAGAAAAGCGTTTATGATGTCTAGACAAAGGTGTATATACTCAGGAACACCCCTTTCCTGTGGCTGCCTCCCCCCACTCCCGCCACAAAACCTACTTTCCAGAGATGAAAAATAGACAGACGTGTTTATAGATTTTGTCAAGCATGATCAGCACTGCCAGCCAGCCAAATACATTAAATTAATTTGAGTAACTATAATAAGATGGCTGCAGATCTTAAGCACTTTGAATGAGTTTCTGCAATCTATTCAGGAATCTATGTCCAAGAGAAATAGGACAGGAAAGAGAACTTACACGCTATGTGACGATGACAAATACTTTCTTATTTAATCATTTAGGCAAAAAGATTCTGCTACTGAGAATCTCAGCACCTGCCTTTCTTTCTGGCTAGAAACCTGTCTAGCAAAAGTCATCTACAAAATATGTCTGAGCACTGCCAGGCAGCTGACTCTCATGACCGAACATCTGGTGTTGCTGCTATCCTCTTAATATTTGGAAATCCCCAATGAGCTACTAGAGCTTTTCTTAGCTGTGTGACAGTAGGAAACACTCCAGAGACTGCATCAGATTTAAGTCTCTTTCAAGACATAACTGGAAGTTTTGGTTAAACCACAAAGTCTTGCATCATCACCAGTACATTACCTAAAAGATTTTAGGTATTTCCTTCCAGTTTGAAAGCCAGCAATTATGCCTGTGTTCATTGAGAAGCTTCCCTATGAAGACTCTGATTTTGTAGTCTGTTCTCATGACAAACTCTGAATTCAATGATGCTGAAGGCACCAGACAAATTCCAATGCTTTTCTCTATAGTGGAAGGGAGCAGAAAAAGTGTGGCACAAAAGCAGGTATTTCAACTCTGTTTAAAAGGAATTACATAAGCTAACCATCACACGTAGTGCTTAAATAGAAAAAAAATACTTTTTGAAATTGGTCCTAGAGCACAACAGAAGGTAAACTTAATAAATAATTATTTCATTAAATTAATTTTAATCCTTGCCACTAAAAGTTTCTTCTATTTAGTTCCCTATTAACTAAATGAAGAAGCAGGAAAGACAAAATAAAAGAATTTTTCCTACCAGCAGTAGGGAAGTATTTCAGATTTTAACCCATTTTATGAGCTAAGTTGTGGCAAAAATACTGAGTAAAGTGAGTCTACATATGAAAATAGGAAATGCACAGAAAAAAGTTATACTGAGCAATTGTCTTAATTTAGGATCACAAGTGCTAAAGGCCATAGTGCTAAAACTCTTTTTTATGTGGAATCCCTAGGAAATTAAATGTGATTGACCTCTACAGTTTTATTTCATGATTTTAGAGGTTTTTAAAATGAACTTGCGACTTTAAAAACTTTACCTAGACTGTTATCAAAATTACTCTAAGTTTTTAACAGTTTTTGAGCTATCAGTACATTTACTCAATAGGTTTTTGACTGTAAATTTCTTTAGATGCAATAGAGATAATTTAATACAATATCTGTAAAGACTCTCATATGCACAGTATCAATTCTAAAGGCTAGTTTAAGTCTTAGGGATAGATTTGCCAGTGTTCCAAAGAAGCCTGTCATGATAGGTTTATTTTTGCAACTGCATATAAAACACATGACACACAAAGTCTAGTTAGTTACTCAGTTACAAAGAGTAATTAAAAGCAAGAAGGAGGCACATTTGGATGTATGAGCTGCTTCTAAGTTCTTGCTTCCTCTAGCAATGATACATAACTGCAGAAGAATGGACTTGTGACTGCAGCTTCCTGGAGAGGTAACAAGTACTGACTGTACCTACTAGGGCAGCAGATCCATAAGGATTGGTGGAAACTGGACTAAGTTGTTTATGTGTTGACATGTCCTTCACAACTCTGAGTCATGGCATCCATTACAGGGGAAGGCTATTACCTTTACAAGAAGGGCAATTACTGTACTACTCAAGATGTTACAATGCCTCTATTTCAGTCAGTTGAGTGCCTAAGTAATCCTAACAATTATATACAATTGTGAATAACACTAAAATAGTCTAAAATATGTGCTCATTCTTAGACATGTTGAGTTACTGCATTACTATGTTAAATGATTATGAGCAAAGGGATAAAAAATACTTTCATCAGATGTATATTTCTGGTAAGGCTTCTTTGTTTTACTTTTAACGCAAACAAAATTACAACAAATTGCTGGAATTGTGTTTAAAAAAATGTGTAACACTTCTAACCCGTTGACTAAGGAACTGCTGTGAATTTCTGGCATCCTGTATGTCCCTTTTCTATGACTTTGATGTTTTCATGTCCAGTAACAATAGTTTGGGGCTTTTTCTGATAAAGGTATCCAGAAGGCAGTTTTGCTCTGCCTTGCTTAGCTAAGTCTCTGAACAGACAGTGATTATGAAAATTTATATCTTTCCATCTATTTCATTCACTACTTGACCAGACTCTGAAAGTCTCTTTCTACATCCACATCCGAGGTAGTTTCAGGAGCTCCTTACCTGTAAGGATGTCTGTCAGCAGGCGGAGAGGCAGGTGTAGGAACTCCTCTGTCTCCTGCA